GTCCGTTTATTGGTGCAGTGTAGAATGCGCCGACTAGCGCGCGCTCGATGTCGCGCGTGGTGGTTTCTGTATTGTCCGCAACAGGACAGCCGCCATGCTGGCTTGAGCTAAACCTCAGCGGTGGCCGATTGGATTTCCAACTTAACTTGCGGTTTTGACATGTCCGTTTATTGTTTCAGCGTGCAACGCGCCGGCGCGCGCGCTTGTTGTCGCGCGAGGTGGTTTCTGTATTTTCCTTCTTTGGGACAGCCGCCATGTTGGCTTGAGAACTAAATTGAACCCTCAGCGGTGACCGATTGGATGTCCAACTTAATTCGTTGTTTTACATGTCCGTCTATTGGTGCAGCGTGCAACGCGCCGACGCGCGCGCGCGCGCGCGCGCGCTGTCGCGCTTGGTGGTTTGCGTATTGTTTCCAATAGGACGGTCGCAATGTCGGCGTGGGAATTAACGTAAATTCGTGGCGGTGGCCGATTGGATTTCCAACTTAACTTGCGCTTCTGACATGTCCGTTTATCGGTGCACCGTGCAATGCGCCGGCGCGCGCGCTTTTTGTAGCGCGAGGTGGTTTCTTCATTCCCCTCTTTGGGACAGCCGCCATGTTGGTTTGGGAGTGAAAGTGACTCCCTAGCGGTGGTCGATCGCATTGCAGCTTAGCTTGCGGTTTTGACACGTTCGTTTATTGGTGCAGCGTGCAACTCGCCGACGCGCGCGCGCGCTCGCGCTCGCTGTCTGTCCCTAGCCCCCATCACCATGGGTCCCTAGCCCCCCTTCCGCCCCGCCTCCCCCCCCAGCCCTCGCCGCAGCCCCGGGCGTCTGCCCTACCCAGCGATATCTCCCATGCGCACGTTTCGCTTGTCATTTTCGTTTTTCTTTTTGCGCCCAGTATTCTCCTTGCGTTTGTGCCAAGTCCTTTTTTTCGATCTTGCCCAAGCTCGAGCTAGAACCCCGCCCTAGCCCCTGGCCTTCGCCGAGGCCTCTGCCTACCCCAGCCACGGTTCTCGATCATTCGTTTCGTTGTTCGTTTCGTTTGTCGTTGTGCTAGCAGTTTCGCCGCGCCTGAGCCCCCGCCAGCGTTCTGGGTGTTGACTTTGCTCATATGGGATGTGATGTCAACCGGTTCAATGTTTTCAGCGGCCGCCCTGCCCCATAGCTGGAAAAGCTCCTGCTCGTTATTATGTATTCTTTCGCTGCTGCTGGTTTTGTTCTCGGTCCAAATCCGCAAGGCCGCGTGCGCGGGCCATGGAATCCCTTTTTGATTTGTTCGATGGCCTTCGTAAGCTCGCGGCCATGAGGTACTGGCTGGCTAGCAGACGCATGATATCGGATTGAACGACTTGATTGCAGCACCGGCCCGAATGTGTGATTCCCGTCTGGACCGATGGCCCGAGTGTCGTGTTTTTTGACGTTGGCCCGCCCACTTTTCCATTTTGCCCAGTCTGCGATCATTTTGTTGATTTTGATTTCAGCCTTAACAAATGGCAGCAGCTTCGCATACTGAGGGCTACTGCTACGACTATTGCGTGTGCGCGCGTTCAGAGATGCTGCAGTATATGCTCGCTGGCGGGCTCTTTCTGGCGACACCGCCTGGGCAAGGACGTACTACAAGAGGTTTGTGCTATATTCCAGGCGTCCCAGATGGGGTCCGAGTAGATGGGGTCGGAGGTTCGCGCAGCATCGTCGACGCATCGGCGATGCAGCTCGATGTGGAGCCCGATCTTATCCACGCTGGGGTCGCTGATGCATCGCCGATGCATCGCCGATGCATCGCTGATGTATCGGCGATGTATCGGCGATGCGACGCGATTCTCCGACACCATCTACTCCGACCCCATCTAGGAGGCCTCTATAGATGCTCGTCTGACGTGTGCCTCCAAGGGGGGCGCATAGTAGCCAGACCCCCGACACGACTTTCTCACAACGTCGACCCCGAGAGGTCCCGACCTATTCCCCAGAACCCGTGTTTCATCCCGAGTAATGTTTTGTTTCCCGGCGCCTGGAGAGGGCCCTAGGTGACCAAAAGCCATGAGATTCTTGTTCGCGACGCGAGGGGGGTTGGGTACTCCCTGAGAGCCGACGTCGCGAAAAACCGTAGAACATCGCAGCCGGAGCCCTGGACCCCCCATCTTCCTGCGGCAGGTTGCGCCCCGGATCGATCTGCGATGGCCCCGGGGCCCGCAATTTGGCGGAGCCGCCCAGAGCAAGCAGAAATGCGACGCCCGGGCGTCGGGGCTACAGGCCACTCGCGTAGGGAGGATGGGCGGGTAGCCTTCCCAAGGGTGCCCTTTGCATCCTTGCCTCCTCGGTCCATCCTTGGCCAGGCCACCTTCGAGGACCGCGCCCCGCTCGAGAAGCTTCGAAATGGCCTTCCAGGGCCCTTGCTCCTCCTCCTCCTCCTCCTCCGCCTCCTCCTCCTCTTCCTCCTCCTCCTCCATGCCTCTCCTCCTCCTCCTCCTCCTCCTCCTCCCCACTCCTCCTCCTCCTCCCCCCTCTTTCTCCTCCTCCTCCTCCTTCTCCTCCTCCTCCTCCTCCTCCTCCTCCATCCTCATTGCGCGTCCTTATGATCCGGGTGATCTATAGCGCGCCCCTCTGCGTCCTCAAGCGACGGCGGCGAGGGCAGCGGCCACGATGCGTGGCCCGAAGGACGGCCAGAAAAGCCGCTCGAAATCCTTCCACGGGCCCCTCCCTGGGTTTACAGGAGGAGTATTCAAAAATAGTCAAAACTAACAACGTCTGGGTACGATGTTTGGACTATGTTTGACTGTTTTCGGTGATTTGTGGACTACTTCCTACGTTTCGTCCAAAATCCGCCTGTAGGGGGACATGCCCGACCCGACCTTGGGTCCAGCCTGGCCAGTCTCTCGAGCTGCGTCCAGCCGCGACGGCGAGAAGGCCCAGAATCGCCCAAGATCTTCGACACGGAGGTGCCGAGGGGTCAAGGCACCGAGGGATCGAGGGTATCGAGGCATCTGTGGATGCTCCGACCGCCGGCGCGCCTGGGGAAGAAGTTGCGGGAGCGAGCCGAACACGGGCGGCGAGCCCAGGGGGGAAGTTTCGGGAGCGTCGGGTTCGAGGATCTGGGTCTCGGGGCGCTGTCGTCGGTTCTCGGCGGGTTTCTGGCCGCGGGATGCGTTCCAGCAGCTGCGCCTCGCCGAGAGCGTTCTGGCGATGACAGGACCGCTCCGAACGGCCACCAGAGAGTCCAGTTATGGCCCAACAAAAAAACACCACGCGTCCTAGAAGCGGCGTGCCTTCTCAGAAGGCTCGGACATCCCCTGGCCTTTAGGACGCTTTCTGAGCCATCCGTAGTCGCAAAAAACCTATGAGAAGGCTGGAGGCCCTCTGAGAAGACCTTCTCCTTCTCGCTTCCCCGCCTCGCTCGCCGCCGGAAGGAGAAGGAGGAGGAGGAGGCGGAGGAGGACGAGGAGATGGAGGAGGAGGAGGAGGAGGAAGAGGGGGGATGATGATGATGATGATGATGATGATGATGATGATGATGATGATGATGATGATGATGATGATGATGATGACGATGCTGATGATGATGCTGATGCTGATGCTGATGCTGATGCTGATGCTGATGCTGATGCTGATGCTGATGATGCTGATGCTGATGCGGATGCGGATGCGGATGCGGATGCGGATGCATGCTGATGATGCTGATGCTGATGCCGATGCTGATGCCGATGCTGATGCTGTGATGGTGATGCTGATGCTGAGGCTGATGATGAATGATGAATGATGCTGCTGATGATGATGATGATGAATGATGCTGATGCTGATGCTGATGATGATGCTGATGATTATGATGATGATGATGATGATGGAGGGTAGAGGATGGAATATGATGATGATGATGATGATTGATGCGATGATGAGGATGATGATGATGAGATGATGATGAGGATGAGGGATAGAATGAAATGAGATGAGATGAGGATGAAGGGATGAGGATGAGAGGAGGAGAGGAGGAGGAGGAGGAGGAGGAGGATGAGCAGGAGGGGAGGAGCGAGCAGAGCAGAGGCAATGATGATGAGGAGGGTGAGGAGGAGGAGATGAGAAGGAGGAAGAGGGGGAGGCGAGGAGGAAGGAGGAGGAGGAGGAGGAGGACGAGGACTAACGTCACAGGGTAACCTTAGAACCTTAGGTTGGTCTAATCGAAATAGGAGCGGAGGACGAAGACGAGTAGTAGTAAGTAGTAGTAGTAGTAGTAGTAGTAGTAGTAGTAGTAGTAAGTAGTAGTAGTATTAGTAGAAAGTATAGTGTAGTGTAAGTAGTAGTAGTAAGTAGTATAGTAGTAGTAGTAAGTAGTAGTAGTAGTAGTAGTAGTAGTAGTAGTAGTAGTAAGTAGTAGTAAGTATCGTATCGTAGTCGTCAGTAGTCGTAGTAGTAGTAGTTAAGTAGTATAGTAGTAGTAGTTAGTAGGTAGTAGTAGTATTAGTAGTAGTAAGTAGTAGTAGTAGTAGTAGTATAAGTAGTAAGTAGTAGTAGTAGTAGTAGTAGTATTAAGTAGTAGTATAGTAGTAGTAGGAGGAGAGGAGGAGGGGAGGAAGGAGGAGGAGGAGGAGGAGAGGTGGAGGTGTGGAGGAGGAGGAGGAAGGCCGAACGATAGGAGGAGAGGAGGAAGAAGGAGCAGGAGGAGGAGGAGGAGGAGGAGGAGGAGGAGGACTAACGTCACAGGGTAACCTCAGGTTGGTCTAACGAAAAAGAAGGAGTACGAGGACGAGGACGAGGAGGAGGAGGAGGAGGAGGAGGAGGAGGAGGAGAGGGAGGAGGAGAAGGAGGGGGAGGAGGAGGAGCCCGAGGAGAAGGAGGAGGAGGAGGAAGAGGAGGAGGAGGAGGAGGCGGAAGGAGGAGGAGGAGGAGGAGGAGGAGGAGGAGGAGCAGGAGGAGGACGAGGAGGAGGAGGAGGAGGAGGGGAGGGGAAAGATCAAGAGGACGATAGCCACCCGACAAGGCGACGACGGTGGCGTCGTCAGCGTTGGCCGCGGTTGTCCCACAGGACGGCGAGCCCGAGGGTGCCGCGGCTGGGGCGCTGGCGGCGGCGTGGCCCATGGCCGAGGCCCAGCGGGTGCCCGCGCTGCCTCCGCCTCCGCCTCCTCCTCCTCGTCCGCCTCATGGTTCACCAAGTAGGCTTGCCTAAGGGGTTCTTACTTGGTTAAAGGTCGGTGCCTCGGGTGGCTACTTTGCCAGTTCCTCGGAGGTTCCCCATGTTCCTCGGGTTCCCCGGTCGGGTTCCTCGGGTTCCCCGGTCGGGTTCCTCGGGTTCCCCGGGTTCCTCGGGTTCCCTTGGCTCCTCGGGCTCCTCGGGTTCCTCGCGTTCCTCGGGTTCCTCGGGTTCCCTGGGTTCCCTGCCCCGGGTTCCTCGGGTTCTTCGGGTTCCCCGGGTTCTTCGGGTTCCCCGGGGTCCTCGGGTTTTTCGCCTTCCCCAGGTTCCCCAAGCAATGCCAAGCTTTGCGCCTACGGAGGCATTGTATAAGGAATGTTTTCTTCCAGACGAGACCCTCGGACGTTCCTTATGTTCTAAGGATTGGCGGGCGCAGTCCAGGGTCTGAGGAAATTCCTTAAGTCGTGATGGGCGCAAGCCCTGTGGTCCAGGGTCTTGACCATTCCTTGCAAGATTAAGGAACTCTGCCGATTCGAGCCTCCGCGTTCCTCAACCATGGCATCCTTGTTTGACCCCCCCACCGTAATTATGCAAAAGGCAGCTTTCCCCTCGTTGGGGTCGCGCCAGGTTCATGTTGGTTCCCCTGCGGCGCTGGTGGATTGGGACAGCACCCAAGGTCGCCTCCTCCTCCTCCTCCTCCTCCTCCTCCACCTCCCCTCCTCCTCCTCCTCCTCCGCCGCCTCTCTCCTCCTCCTCCTCCTCCCCCCCCCTCCTCCCCCCCTCCTCCTCCTTCTCCTTCTCCTCCTCCTCCCCCTCCTCCTCCTCCTCCTCCTCCTCCTCCTCCTCCTTCCTCCTCCTCCTCCTCCTCCTCCTCCTCCTCCTCCTCCTCCTCCTCACTCCCCTTCTCCTCTCCTCCATCCTCTCCTCCTCCACCCCCCCCTCCTCCACCTCCTCCCCTCCTCCTCCTCCTCCTCCTCCTCCTCCTCCTCCTCCTCCTCCTCCTCCTCCTTTTCGTCGACGCACATCGGGAGGACGAGGAGGCCGGCATCGACTGAGGCCCTCTTGGCGTCCGCGGCTCCAGAGCGTGGACGGCTTGCCTCCTGCGCGGAGGGCCTGGAGGCAAGTCGGTCCTGTCCCTCGACGCGAGGAATCCTCAAAAATAGTCCAGAAGATAGTCTGGGGACTATCTTGTTGACTATCGCTAAGCATTTTGGGGTCATTTTTGGCGCATTTTCCATTTTTCGCCCAACATCCCCCTGTAGGGGGACACGCCCGACCTAAGCCTAGAGGCACCTCTCGACCGGAGCGCCAGGGGCCCGCCGTCGGAGCCGGCATCAGCAGAGCCCTCAGGGCCTTCCTCCTCTTGAAAGTCTTGAAGCGTGCAACGCCCATCGGACAGGGGGAGGCGTTCCCAAACCCTGCCAGGGCAGCTCCCTACCTATCTAGACTAGGCGTAAGAGTGACCTTTCGCCAGAGTGACCTTTCGCCGGAGTGACCTGTGGTGCGGGCACAGATGGGCCCTCAGATGGCTGAATACGAAGCGGTAGCAGCGGCTTGCGCGTCCAGGTTTGGTCTCTCTGCGGCCCCCAAAAAGCCGCGCACCAAAGGTCATTCTTACCCAGGGTCACTCCTGCGTGTAGCCGATTATCCCGCTCCCTGCCCTCCCCGGCGCGCCAACCTCCTTCCTCTTCCTTCCTCCTTCCTCCTCCTCCCTCCCTCCCCCATATGGCCGAGGGCCACCGGGTGCCCGCGCTGCTGTGCGCCCTCGCGCTGGCGGCGTATTCGGTGGAGCTGCTGGACGGAGGCGGCGACGACGACATACGACGACGACGACATACGACATACGACATACGACATACGACATACGACGACGACGACATACATACGACGACGACATACGACATACGACATACGACATACGACATACGACGACGACGACGACGACGACAGACGACGACGACGACGACGACGACGACGACGTCGACCACGACGACGACGACGACGACGACGACGACGACGACGACGACGACGACGACGACGGACGACGACGACGACCACGACGACGACGACGACGACGACGACGACGACGACGATCTGATTTTTGTCCGCCGCCCCGGGGGGGGGCGGCTCCGTCCAGAGGGTCCGTGTCTGCTGGCCCAGGGGCTCGAAGACAGCTCCCGAGGGCCGAAGGCGAGGAAAAACGTCCGCATTAATGGAAATCACGTCGCCGTCGCCGCCGTCGTCGTCGTCGTCGTCGTCGCCGCGTATGTCTATTCTAACGTCGTACGTCGTACGTGCGTACGTCTTACGTCGTGCTCGGCGTCGTGCGCGTGCGTCCGTCGTCGTCGTCCCCCACCGCGGGACGGTGGTTATCTCGTCTGCTGCGGGGCCCTCAGAGGCTTTGCCCAAGCCTTGTGCTGTCAGAAGACGTCAGGGTCTGAAAGACGTTGGGTCCATGCAGCGGGTCAGTCAGAGCGCGGATCTTGCGGCGCCGGGGGGGCACGACGATGATTCCTTAGGAAGAAACAGGTTTTCCGATCGATCTTCTCGCCGCCACTCTGATCTCCACGAAATACTGTGAGGGACCGCTCCCGGAGAGGTCCTGGGAGTGGCGGTACCTGGGTTTGTGTTTGCCCCCCCCCCCCCGACGACGACGACGACGACATACGACGACGACGATATACGACGACGACGACGACGACGACGACGACGACGACGACGACGACGACGACGACGACGACGACGACGACGACGGCGACGCTTTCGCCGACGGCGGCGACGCCGACACCCACGCCCATCGAAGAAGAACAGGCGGCATGAACATGCACTTTCGAAGGTCCGCTCGGATTTCTCGGTCTGCGCCGCCCCTGGCGCGCTTCGCGCCCTTGGGAGGAAGGTCCAGCGCAGATCCAAGAGATCCGAGCGGGCCTGGGACTGAATGTTCATGCTGTTTGTTCCTTGGTCTGGCCTGCGCATACGCCGACGCAGAAGCTGACGGCGACGTTGACGGCCAAGACGAGGACGACGACGACGACGACGACGACGAGGCCGACGACGACGACGACGTCGATGATGACGACGACGACGACCACGACCACGACCACGACGACGACGACGACGACGACGACGACGACGACGACCACGACCACGACCACGATCACGATCACGACCACGACCACGACCACGACCACGACCGCGACGACGACAACGACCACGACCACGACCACACGACGACCACGACCACGACCGCGGCGACGACCACTACGACCACGACGACGACGATGTGGACGTGGACGGCGACGCCGAAGAGCAGCTTACAACGGCGAGCGGCTCGGCGGAGGCCATCTGCTTGGAGTGTTGTCCCGCAGGCTCTGGCGGTGTCGTGCGGAGGTCCCTCCGGGGGTCTGTGCATGCTTCCCGGAGGTCTGCAGGGGGTCGGCGTTGTAGGGACCGCCAGCCTGAACGATTTTCAGAGGAGCAGCATATGGGGAGAGGCATCGGGGGGATAGGCATAGGGGGGGATGCATCGACCCCCAATCGCCCATGGATCGCCGATATGGGCCCGATAGCCCCAACCTGCCCAGGAACGTGCGGATTCACCATCGGGGGCCTATCGCCGATTTATCGGCGATGTATCGCCCATTCGAGGTCGATGTTTCCCCCCTATGCCTATCTCGGGTTGACCCAAAAGGGGGTCCTGCGAAGGGGGTGGTGCAATAGACTTGGTGCAGAGGACTTGTGGGGTTGCAATACATCCGGGGCTTGCAATACTTTCCGGTGCGCAAGTGTATTGCTGCACTTTCGCGTGCGATGCACTACTTGCAATACAATGCAATACAATTCTCTGGCGCCATACGTTTGCAATACCCATCGGTCGTTGAAAGTAGGTTTTATTTGGATTCCCAGAACCCAATCTATTTCGAGCGCCTTCCTACTTCAAGAATTGATGTGCTTTTGCTGCGTTTTGTTGCTCTCTGGGCGGGCCCGGACCCAATCTACTCGATCCGTCTCCCTGTTTCATGTTTCTAGTTACTTCTTCCTACCGATGGGTACAGTTGCCCCAAATCTATTGCACCACCCCCTTGCAGCTGGACGCCCCTTTGGGGTCACCCAAACCGTCCCCCTCGACCGCTGCCCCTCAAGCGTGGTGCCGACGGCGTGGTCCCGTCGCTGTTGCTTGCGATGCGGAGCTTCGCGGGCCCCCACAGCCCCAACCTGCCCAGGAACGTGCGGATTCGCCGTCGGGGCCTGTCGCCGATCTGTCGGCGCTGCATCGCCCATTCGAGGTCGAGGTTCCCCCCCCCCATGCCTATCCCCCCCGACCGCTGCCCTTACGTCGGGCCTGTCCCCCATACAGGGGGATTTTCGACGAAAAATAAAAATACCCCAAAAAATAATGAAAAAAGATCCTGGCGAAGGTCCCAACCATATGCAGTTGTGGGTACCGTAATTGTGAATATCTGCTTCGGTGAGGCTCCCTATGGGGTCACGCTCCCTATGGGGTCACGAAGCGCTGCACTGGGCGGGGGGGAACGCTGTACTGTGTGGGTGGTGTGCCGAATTGGGTTTCTGGGACGCATGCGGACGGTCCCACTGAGGGCTTCGGTGGAGCTCCCTATGGGGCCACGAAGCGTTCTACTGAGTGAGTGAAAATGCCAAATTGGGTTTCCGGGACGCATGCGGACGGTCCCACTGGGGGCTTCGATGGAGCCCCCTTATGGGGCCACGAAACGTTGCACTGCGCGGGTGAAATGCCAAATTACATTTCCTGGACGCATGCGGTCGGTGGCACTGGGGCCTTGGGTGGAGCCCCCTATGGGGCCACGAAACGCTGCACTGGGTGGGTGAAAATGCCAGATTGGGCTTCCGGGACGCATGCGGACAGGGGCATTGGGGCCTTCGGTGGAGCTCCTTATGGGGCCACGAAACGCTGTACTGGGTGTGCGGGACGCATGCGGACGGTAGCGCTGGGACCTTCGGTGGGGCTCCCTATGGGGCCGCGAAACGCTGTACTGGGCGTGCGGGACGCATGCGGACGGTAGCACTTGGACCTTCGGTGGGGCTCCCTATGGGGCCACGAAACGTTGTACTGGGTGGGTGAAACGCAGGGAGGAGGGGAGGAGGGCCACGAAACGCTGTACTGGGTGTGCGGGACGCATGCAAACGGTGGCACTGGGATTTTCGGTGGAGCTCCTGATGGGGCCACGAAACGCTGTACTGGGTGCGCGGGACGCATGCGGACGGTAGCATTGGGACCTTCGGTGGGGCTCCCTATGGGGCCACGAAACGCTGTACTGGGCGTGCTGGACGCATGCGGACGATAGCACTGGGACCTTCGGTGGGGCTCCTTATGGGGCCACGAAACGCTGTACTGGGTGGATGAAACGCAGGGAGGAGGGGGAGGAGGGCCACGAAACGCAGTACTGGGCGCGCGGGACGCATGCGGACGGTAGCACGAGGAGGGGGCAGAGGAGGAGAGGAGAACGCGGGGCGACGTCTCTTCAAAACGAGGAGCCAACAACACAAGATGGTTGGGGAATTGTAAAAAAATAGTCAGGGGACTATTTTTTAGTATTTGTTGAGCCTTTTGGAGCATTTTCGGGTTTTTTTCCCTACCTAGGCTCTGCCTAGAAGGGTTCTTACTCTCTAGCTTAAAGGGGCCGGGCAGTGGAAAGCGCCCCGGGCGGTTCCCCCAGTCCCCGCCCCGCGGTTCCCCCCAGTCCCCGGGGAGCTTTAGCTTTAGCTTTAGCTTTAGCTTTAGCTTTAGCTTTAGCTTAGCTTTAGCTTAGCTGTAGCTTAGCTTTAGCTTAGCGTT